ACTGAAAACTGCAAGATACAGCTCCAAGATATTACCTAAAGTACCTAGCAGATGGAAGTGTCCCACAACCAAGGTGAATAGTAGGGATAAAGAATGTCAAGGAAGGAATAAGATGGATTTGGTAATTTGACACTCAAGCACACTCCCAAAACAAGCACTTCTGGGCTCCTAAATGCTTAGCTGGGCTAAGTTGTGCAGGTACTGAAAACTGCAAGATACAGCTCCAAGATATTACCTAAAGTACCTAGCAGATGGAAGTGTCCCACAACCAAGGTGAATAGTAGGGATAAAGAATGTCAAGGAAGGAATAAGATGGATTTGGTAATTTGACACTCAAGCACACTCCCAAAACAAGCACTTCTGGGCTCCTAAATGCTTAGCTGGGCTAAGTTGTGCAGGTGAATAGGAGGAGGAGGGGTGAGTCACAACCAAAACCAGTATCTCTATTCTTTCTCCATGCAGATCCTTGACAAGGCTGCAAAGGCTTTGTGTGTGGGGGAGAGGGGAGGAGTGAGGGCTAGGCAGAACTGCTTATATGCCAACTGTGGTGTATGCATGCCCAGCGAGCGAAGAGTGGCTCAGGGTCCTGTAGTCCATGCAGCCTCACATCCATTTGGTCTGAAAAGAGACCATTCCCATTAAATGGGAGGGTCTGGATGGAAAAACACATTTCCTTGGAGAGTCCACTGGTCTGAAGCCACAAGCTGTGCCTCATTACTACTGCCAAGATGATTATCCACCTGCTGAGTTCACCATGTCCCATGCCATCTGGAGGGAGTGCCTGGCCACCACAGCACCTTTCTCTACCAGGGTGCCATACTCTTGAGTCAAACTCTGTGGGAGAGACTCCTGGAATTTATGAAGGGAGTCTCATTAGTTAACATTTTTCCTGCCCCAGAATGTCTGATAATTTTTCACTGCAAATTGGCCGAGACATAAATTTTCCATTTTCCTTCCAAACATGTCAAGTCATTTGGTCTCTTTATTTCTCAGGGTAGAGATGGAATGCCTATTTTCTTTTTTGTTGGCTGCCAAGGCCACTAGCGGGGCAGGGGCAGGGTGGGTATAAAAGTATTCAAACCCTTTGGGTGTGTCTAGACTACAGTGGACTTTTGTCGACAAAACTATACCTGCATCTACACTACCGCCGCATTCTGTCGACAGTAAGTTGACAGAACGCGGCAGTTTTGTTGGCGGCGGAGAACTTCATTCTATGAGGAATAACGCCTTTTTTCAATAGTACTCTGTTGAAAAAAGGCGCTATTGCATGCAAACTGTGCTTTTTCAAAGAGTGTCAAGACTCTTTTTCGAAAAAGCAGCTTGCTTTGTTGACAGTACTGGTTGTAGTCTAGACGCTTTTTTTTGAAAGAAGCTTTGTCGACAGATACTGTCGACAAAGCCTCTGTGGAAAAAGGTGTGCAGTCTAGACATACCCTTTGATAGGAACAAAGTATTTCTTTTCAACCCATTTTGCAGTGAGAGGGATGGAGGAAGGAGTTTGCCAGATGGATTTGTCAACCTTGAGGACAGTCATACACTGGCCATTTCCTCCACTTCCAACTCCAAATTCTCAGCCACCCAATGAAGCAGGGCCTGGTGGTCCAAATTGTCTGACAGGGGTCCCCGCAAGGGTTCTATGACCACTTCATCAGAGGATGAAGATGAGGACTGTACCACCGGTGGAAGGCCCGGGTCCTCCACAAGTGCAGGAGATTTAGGATGAGATTCAGCCATAGCCATCGGGACCAGAGGAGCATTCGAAGGCATTGGTGTCATCAGGGATTTTGGTCCCACACTACTCCCAGAAGGTATTCCATGAGGACCTTTCAAGGGTTTAATGGCCCCAACTGGAGAAGCACAAGTGTGTGTCTCTGAAGTGGGTCCTTTGCTTGATGATCCCTTCAGAGGACAAGGGTGGAGACAGTGAATTAAAGCAACCATTCTGACTCATCTGCAGCCCAGAATGAAGAGGGAATTGGCACAAAACAGGGAAATGGTAAGGCTGGCACAGCATATGTCTCTACTGTACCTAGTGCCAGAAAGGGAACCAATCACTGATACCAAGGTCAGAATTCTATCCCTTCCTTGGCCACCAGCAGTCCTATTTTCCCTTAATATTTCTCCTTTATTAGAGGAACATTATCCAGTCTCATTTGGCTCCAGTAGTTAATCTTATTTTCATTTTCTGCCTCTTTTTAGGTGAGAGGTTTTTTTGTATTATGTTCAGAAGATTTTAACAATTTGCCACTACAAGTTGGACCTCCTTAGTCCGGCACCTGACTGGTCCTGGATGAGGGATTTTGACAGACCAGAAAAGGAAATTTCTGGGCCCCCTTTGTCACTGCTACCCCCATCCATGGCCTTGCTGCCTGCCTCCCAGCCACCTTTCCCCTGCTGTCGGCCCCTCCACACGCAGGGCGCCTGGCCCCATCATGGCAGCCTCACTGCTGGCACAAGTCGACCCACTGCTAGGCTCCCAGCCTCATGGGGCAGCCCCCCTACTGGGGTCCAGCTGCGCCACCAGGGGACAGGGTAACACCCCACTTGGGCTTCAGCCTCGGTCGGCAGCCCTGCTGCCTTCCAGACTTACCAGGCAGCTCCACGGGCATCAGCGGGGCTGCCGCGCTCTTTGCTGTGCCAAAAGCAGTTTCCAGATTCCTGGCCCTGCCACCAGGCAGCCCTGTGGTCAGGCTGCTGGCCCTGTTGGACAACCGGGAAGCTGCGCTGCTTGGTGGTAGTGGGGCTGCCAGGCTCCTGGTTGTGCTGCCGGGTGGCACTGCTACCTCCCAGTCTCGCCCAGCAATTTCATTGCTGGGCTTCAGCCCTGCTGCCTCCTGCCCCTAACCCTAGCCCCCTGCAGTGTTGCCACCACGTGGCAGTCCTACTGCTGGGCTTCTGCTTCGCTTCGACAGGGCAGCCCCACTACTAGGCTCTAGTCTAGCCCCACTGCAGGGCTCCCAGCAACAAGCCCTCCACTGGGACTCTCCGGTCCTAGGACATCCATTATACTGCTAGGCCAGGGATATTGCCAGACCAGAGTCCAGGTTAGAGAGGTTCAATCTGTTTTGCTAAATTACTCATTTCAGAACATCAGTAACCAAACAATGGCAATTTTCTTTAGGTTAATAAGTAGACCTAGGTATTAATGAATGAATTAATGAACCAGACATTCACTTATGGGTTCAAATCCTATCTAAGTCACCACAAAGGGAAAATAATTTGGTGGTTTTTGTTTTTCCTGCAATCTAATACACTTCTGGCCATATAGTAAAATCCCTCCACATTCTAGCAGTCTTTGCTAAACAGAGAGTTATGATTGATTAGTCACAAGTAAGATGCGTTTGGCAGAATTATGTGGTGAGTCTTGCAAAATTCTTTGTAAAATTATGTCTGATTCTTAAGTAGCAAATTTACAAATTGATCACATCTAATATAATCATAAAGTAACTTACCAAAGAGATTTTACACCAGTCAATATTGAACTGAGTACGAAATTTTTTATCACAAGTTATTACAGGTTCCATTTCTTGGCTGCATCTCAGCTGATTTTGTGGGTTTTCCACTTCTCGTAAGCATGAAGAGAATGGAACATCTGCACCAACCATAACATACACACTGCAGAAAAAGATGTGTGACAAACTGTTTCCAGGATATCCATTAATAAATAAATATCTAACAAACAGAGTCTAGTCATCTGCATTCCAATGATCACCATAATTCATTTCTAAAAGTTTTAGGTGTGTTTTAAGGGCTATAACATTTTTTTCCAATGCAGGCACCATGAACTAGGACCATACTGTTTCTCTACTTACTTAATACATTCCAACTATTTCCTGAGTGCATAATGTAGTGTGTGATTATGACTAGCAGTGATTAGTTTTTATTAAAAAAAATATGAAGTTCAAAGTTCAGGAGTTTGAGGTAAAAACAATAAATCATTGATAAAGTACTTCAGAAAGTTCTGTTAAAATACATCCGTATCAGATGAGCGAAAAGGATGTGTTATGCTCAGCATAGTATTCTTGAAAATTCATGGATGTAAACACTTCTTCCCACAAATAAATTGTGAAACGTATGTGAAAATGCTTTAACTCAGAACGGCAATTTTTAATCCCTTGTTGATGCCAACTGCCAAAACATACAGCTTCCCTCACTAAATTCCACAATACAGTTATGCATGGTCAATACAAAATTTTGCAACACATAGAAAACAGAGCGTGGGACAAAAACTGATTTTAGTGTCAAAGTAAATAGAAGAATTGCTACTGTACTGATAATATTATTCATATCATTTTCATACTTCTCTCAACTGAAATTAAAAATGAAACTGCTACAAAAAATAATCTGCTGCACTAGAAAGTCATCAGGGTCCTTGAAGTAGAATTTAGGTCCCTTTTGCTATGGAGTACACAGAGCATAGTCTGAGCAATGCTCAAAACAACACAGATAAAACTCTTAACACGATCTTACATACACTGATGTGCTTAACACAGGATGAGGAAACTGCTATCTTTTTAGCTTATGTCTTTTTAAAACTGCAGGAGTTAGTTTCCTAGCTAGCACATATCATAGTAAATCATAAACAATCCACCTTAAGAGTTTGCTCAATGAACAAATGTCATTGATACCTTAGTTTGGGGTTATGTAGCAGATTCCCTTTAGCTCCTGTTCAATTGTAGTAACAGACTTCAAGAAGTCTCTCAATGGAAAACACAGGAAAAAGGAAACAAATTCTCAAGGTGTATTTCTCTTGTAAATTGTTACCTGCACATTTTTAAAAAAAATCATAAAACTTCTAAAGCAAGGATATAAACTCCTTCCCAAGCAATATTAATCAGTGAGCTCTAAACTTAAGAGCTATAGTATTGAAAGATGTAGATTTAAATGCATGTATGATATTTGGAATAGAATGCATACTTTTTCTGAGGTCTATGTTGTAGAATTTGGGAATCATGAATCAAACTTAAGCTCTGCAGTTACTGGGATATAAGGACACGGTCTACACAGCACCCTATACTCAAAATAAGATATCTATTTTGCGCTACACAAACTGCATATCTTATTTAGAATCTATTTCGAAATAGTTTATTTTGAAATTTGGCACATCTACACAGTGCCAAATTTTGAAATAACGTACTAATTCAAGCCATCCCTTATGAGGCTTGCAACGAGGTTTACTGGAATGGTGAAATAGCACACCTGTTATTTTGAAAAATATTTAGAAGTAATGAGCAACTTGTGTAGATATGGGGTAGCTATTTTGGGATATCCCAAAATAGCCGTGCAGTGTAGACGTATCCTAAGACTGGAATTAAAAGAGTCATATTTCCTTCCATCTGTTTTATAAGCAGGAAAAACTGTTAATGTTTCTTAGAATGTATATTCCCTTGGGAATGGACTGCATCTATGTATAGCACCTAATATCAAAAGACCTTAATCCCTACACCTGACCTGGAGCCTCTGGGCACATACATATTTTTAATAATTTACATATATCTAATAATGATTACCAAATGTTAGTGCTTTAAAAGTAACTTTACAAAAGTCTTGAATACCTGAGAGGAACATTAAACACTTGAGTGACACTTATTTTGAATGCTAAAGATTTGTCAACAGACTAAATATACATGCTTGTGCTTACCCCTCTTTCATATCATTAATAGGAAGTGGAACTCTGCCTCCCCTGTCTAGAGCTGAGGTGATGTTTATAGCATTCAAACGCTCTGGTTGCCACACATTTTTCACTGCTCCAAGAAAATCTCCAAGAACCTCACTTGCTAACATTTCTTCTACATTCATGTTCTTTATGAAGAACTCCGCTTGATATGGTAAAAGAAAATCTAGTTGTGAAGGAAAAGAGTTATGTACTTATTACAAAAGATCTAAAATAGTGGTTGAGTGCTACAGTACTGAATTTAAAAAACTGATCAATTGTCTTCCTAAAATCCTTTTATGAATCAAGTTATATTCTGAATCTCATCTGGACACTCTTGTTTAACAATCAAACTATGTTTATTTATAGTATCACCAGCTATTCTTGAAAGAAGCATTCAAGCTTTGCCCTCCTGATGGAGCTATTGGAAACTCCCAATCGCTCCCCTTTAATTGGTTAACTGGTTATTTAGCCAATTAAACTTGATTTTACATCCCTACTATTTACATCTCACTTTAGTATCATCCTGCCTAAGTAATCAGTAAGTTCAAAATGTACAAACTGTCCACACTCACAATTAGAATGGTTTGCTAAATGCTAAGAAGAGCTGAGAAGATAACTGAAATATATGTTAAAAAATTAATCAGTTTGATCAAACGAAAACTGGTTTTTTCCCTAGACTTTTCAGTTAATTGAGAGGTTCCAATTTCAGTATATTCCAGAGCAGGGATTCAAACTTCTATTTCCAACACACCTGGTAGATGCCCTCACCACTGGGCTAAATATTATTAGAGCAAAGCAGAAGCAGCAACATCCCCACAATCTTCACCGCCTCTTCCTGAAACCTTTTTGTGAATGGTCAAAATTATGAGTGTCATTCACAAATAGATTTAGGTTGATCAAATCATATTTGAGTGAAAATTCAATTTGTCTGAAAATTTGCTATAATTTTAAGGCAGATCAGTGGTTCTAGTAATTTTAAGGGGATTTATAATTGTTTACAGTTTTGAACTGTGACTTATTTGCAACTTGGTTAACTTTAAATATCTACTTTTTTAAATGTCAAAATTACCTCAGAACTTTGTCTGCTGTGCCTGAGTTTTATGTGCATCTATTTTGTGTATTGTGCATCTGCATCCTGTGCATGCTCATAAATTGAATATACACATCTCATTTTTCCCCATAGATAGATATTCTTAAAGCTCTTAGAAGAAGCTAGGAGCAGTGCTCAGAGCTCTGATAAAATAAGAATCTTTTTGTCAAATTTTAAAGGAATTTTCATTTTTACAGGTATCTTAACTCAATTACATATATTTATGTCTTCTTTTCTGATTTTACAGATTGCTGAATAGTTTATTTATATTATTTTACAATCTTGTTACAAACTGTACTGCGGAACACAGGTTTTCCTAAATGAATGTTTAAATCATTTCCATTCCTCTTGGAGATGCTACTTGATTTTTTCACTTGGTTTATTTATTTAGTTTTGCACTTTTAAATTTAGTAAAACAGCATTTCACAATCTTCCATGATAAAACAGATGTACTTGTTAAGTATGAGAGGGTCTATAGTACAAATAAGCATAGTAACATTAAGAAGATGCATAGGATGTTCAAACTAGAGAAAATATATGCAAAACATTATTACCTGGCATTTTTCCTTGCTTATTTTGATATTAGATTAGATTAGATTAGATTAGATTAGATTAGATTAGATTAGATAATTTTGTGATCACATACCAGTTTTCTTTCTTCTTTGACCACCAATGAAGTCATAATCTAAGGTTTTGGACATCAATCTATTGCTATGGAAGTGACTGTCACACATTCACTTATGATTTGACTGTAGTGAATCATTTCACAATTACCTAAATGCATTTGGGGGGATTTTCTTCCCCTGGTGATACATCACCTAATTACCTCATTATGTTGTAGGGATTTAGCAATGAAATAAGTACTAATTTCATGTTCAAGAGATGAATCAAAGCTAAAAGCCTGTGTGTGTTACTATTACAATTAGGGAATGAAAGCTCAATATTGCAGGACATGAGCATTCCAGCTCTGATTCAGAAATGCACTTAAACACATGCCTAAAGTTAAGCATATGAGCAGTCCCATTAAAATTAATGGAACTAACCATGTACATAAAGTTAAGTGTGTACATAAATACATTACTGGATTGAGGCCAGATGCTCACTACACTACAATGTTGGTCACTATACGACAATGTGAAAAGGAAAAAAAAAAACACTGTTGCTTCTTGGCGCATGTATGTTTTCTGATAATGGGACATATTCTCTACTCATGAAAATATAACATTGCCAGTGGCAGGAATAGGATCTCTATATATGGAATAAGAGAGAACACACCCAATATATCTACATAATAAACTAAAACAAAGCAGAGAAGTTACTCACAGAAAAAGCAGGGGGTGCTGAGAAGAACATGTCACAGTGGTGAGAAGAGAAAGAGAATGCAGTCCCTTACCTTATCTTAAAACAGTCACAAAAATGCACATAACACAATATCTCTTTTGTATATGACACTTATTTTGCCTAACCATTGAATTGCCCAATACAACGATACTCAGACTGAGGCTCTGGAGCTGCAAGTGGCTCCTGTGGCTCTTTACAGGACATATTAAAACACTCTGTGATTTAATTATTAACCAATCAGGATGCTTTTACTATATTAACCAATTGCAGTTGATACAATAATAGTACTCAATCACACACACACACACATACACACACACAAACTATATATACACACAAACTACGTATTTTCGTTGTCATACTCTTTAAATATGAATATATAATACTATAGCAGATAAACCAATAAATTCACACTTTTTGGTAATGTTGATCATTTGGCATTTGAACCACTACTGTCCTGTCTGAGTATTACTGCAGTCCTAGTCACTGAGGTAAATTACATTTCTTTTGCACTTATGCATCCTTTTTGACTAACCTGCACACCTTCTATGTTTCAGATTAATGTACATACCTTCTGCTGACATTATATTAATGATCAAGTTATGTCTTGCAGTTTCAAAGGTGCGCCTGTTGTAAGCAGTGATCTAGAATAAAATCAGATGACACCAAAATACAAATATGAAAACCAAAATTAATGAATTCAGCACAGAAAAATATTGTTTTTCTTAATTTAAAAATATTAATATATGAAATATTTTTTATTTTTGAATACTAGAAAAAATAACGTCCATGGACTGTAAATATAGAAATATGAAAGATAAAATGGATGTGCAAACCAACTCGTTTTGATGGAGCACCATATCAAATAAAGACAGTTTAGTGGGATTTGTACACTAGTCTATCTAGTTATTTCTACAGCACTAATATTCTCAGCTGTTGTATGGATGACAGATTTACAAACAAGCGGATGGTCTACCCTAAGTGCTGTATTCTTTTCTCTCTCAGATCCATTTCAGGAATAGGAGGGAGCAGGATGTTTTTCTCCCCGTGTGTTTTTCTTCTTTTATTGACCTAAGTATGATAAAGCCAAAGAGTAAAAATGCAGTTTTTGTTACATCCTGAAGGCTGTAAGATTTCTGTTCATTCTTAGCTCCTAGTAGAGCTAATCTAACCTGTGATATTTATAGGGGGGGGGAAACTTTATAAAGTCTTTAAAAGATGGTCCCTGTCCCAGTTTTATATTTGTACAGTGCCTAACACAACGCAACCTAGATCTGTGACTGGGCTTCTAGGCATTACTGCATTACAAATAATAAGAATGCCAGAGGTTTTATCTTTAGGTGGTTTGAAAATTAGTTGGAGATGCAAAGTATATGCTCCTTATTTTTGGAAAAAATAAAAATATGTCTGATATAAATTACTACAAGTACATAGAAAGGTACTTTTTAAATTCAGGAAAGGGCTATGGTGTTCATCTGATGGTCAAGTATAGTCTCCAGTGATTAGTCTATCACTGTGTTGAGAAGTTATTATATGACTGAATTCATAAGAATTTTGTAATATGATCTGGTATAAGAATAACATATTTTTTCCTCTCCTTTCTCCGCCCTCCCCCCACATTACCCGAAAACACAGGTGTCTCATAACACAAACAAAAATAGATGGTCTCTGACCAAAGAATCTTAAAATCTAGCTTGACATGATTAAACAAAGGGAGGTAACAAAATATCAGAAGGTAGAGGGCAGCACTGTGATTAGGGATGTTAAAGTTGACGTTGAATAATTGTGTAACCTCATCAAATTTTAATGGTGACACGACTATACAACAGTGCTAGGGGTCAGTACACTCCCAGCCCCGCTCCCAGGGAGCCCCCTGCCATCCCATGCTGCTGCCTCTGTATCAAAGATCTTTGCACCTGTGCAAAGCCACACTGATCTCAATAAGAATCTATCTAGCAGAAATGATTCATGTTAACAGATCCTGATGTAGGTTTGGAAACACACTGTTTAATAAAAGAACTATGTTTAAAACAGATTGTTCAAGCAATCCTGAGTTCTGATTCTGCAGCTGTTTCTGCACTAGTTCATGTGTTATGCATGTGATTAGTGCCACTGAAATCAATGGGACTAATAATGTACATAAAATTAAGCATGTGCTGAATTGGTGTTTACAGTTTTATCTTTGGAGAAAAACAAATTAATAAAATGTAGAGAAGCCATTAATCAAGGATTTAACACAAATATATGCCTGTCCAAACAAAATTGGTGAAACTGGTAAGTTAATTTAGCAATTTTTTCATAGTGTTGTGAGCTGCAGACTTCCTCCATTCATTCCTTAATATGTGATGTGGGACCAAATGCATGTCAGAGAATCATACAGTTTTTGCCTTTCAATTGCTGTTCTCTGTATAATTAGTACTTAGTTACAACAGTGATTTTTGTCAGCATTATTAATTATGAGATCAGAAAAATGTTTTGATGTTTACTTTTGTAACTGGATAATTCATCACTGAGGGATTAAAAAGTAAAAAAAATCTGTTCACTGATTTAACAACTACTATTTGTTTGCACTGAAGGGAAAGAAAAGTGGCATATAGGAAGATGAGTGCAAAGGTAAATATTTAGATACTTCATTTAATCATGAATTTATTTTGCACACTATTTTATATTAAGTGATAAACATTTAAAAATGAAAGACAACCTTCTGATGCTTTTAAAAGAAGTACCTCAATGACGGTGGGTTTGCCCACATTTTCTATAGTTGGTGATCCATACAGCACCCCATCACTATAAGGTGTCCTCTGAATGTAACGGAGCCATCCAGGTCTGTCAGGATAACCCATTAAGTTGGTGTTAAATGTTATAGGATCATTACTTATCTCACCTAGATAAGACAATATTAAAATATTTTCAAAAAATGACTTTATGCACCTTCTTTTTTGAAGTTTCCATTAAATCATTTTGGATTCAGTTTTGTCATATAAAAACAATTATTACAATTCTTTGTAACACAGTACTGCAGTTACATGGGAAAATAAAAAAAATGTAATTTCTTATTGTCAAAAGTGCCGTTTGAGAGCCACACCCCTGAGTCCATACCCCAGCATGTGTAATTGGCAGGAATCACGTATTAGAAATTTATAGCCAATAACAGAGTGGAATGTGCTTGTACTTTCTTAGATATCTATTGACCCTTTGTACTTCTACCCAGCAATTGCTAGGCCCTGGTTTCACAGGGTTTTTAGACTCCCAGAACACTAAAGCATCTAGCCTCCCTACCAACCAAAGAAAAGGCTCCAAATGCCCAATATTTTCAAGCAATAAACAACTTTAAATTTTTAAAAGATGTTAGAGACCATATCTATCTCTGAAGACTTTACTGTAGGAAGGAGCACAATATTTTTTTCATACTTTAACATGTATGGTCAAGGCAAGACACACAGATCCTAGAACTGACAACTGGGCAACAAGGTTGTTTAGACTATGCCAATTTTCTTCCACAATTTGATCTGAGGAAGTGGGTCTGGCTCACGAAAGCTCTTCCAAATTTACTTCAGAAGACTGACAAGAGACCTAACAGGAAATGCAATCCTTCCTGACAAACACTTCCAACAAGCTCATGCCACATAGCAGAAGAGAGAAAGGATTTTAAGTAAATTGTGATATCCTAAAAGGGAGGAAGATTTCTCTGAGGCCATTTTAACTAGTAAAATAACACATAAATATGGTGTGCTGGCCTTTTAAGGGTAGGCTTGTCATTGAACACTGTCCTGTTTCTGATTTCAGTATAGCTCTAAGGAATGTTGTGACTTGTAGTTCCTAAAGCTGATGAGTGTTTCAGACTGCAGGCAAGATCTGCTGGGAAGAGGGTAAATTAAGCAACTCCTTTTCCTCACAGCAGGAGAATGCAGATAAAGTGTGGGAGCTGTGAGAAGGAAGTGTCTTAGAATGAGATAAGGGCCATAATAGGTCAGACCAATAGTCCATTTAATTTAATGTACCTTGAATTTTCTGACAGTGGCCAGTGCCAGGTGCCCCAGAGGGAAAGAACAGAGCAGGTAATCAAGAAATCCAGTGGTCCCCAACGTTTTGGGGCTGCTGGGAGCCGGGGGGCGGGGCTGCTCACACGCCGCGCGTCCGGGGGCGGGGCCGCTCATGGGCCTGGGGACGGGACCAAGCATGCGCCGTGCGCCCAGAGCTGGCACTGGCATGTGCCGCGACCCCGGGTAGGGGCCGCCCAGGTGCCGCACGTCCGGGGCCGGCACCAGCATGTGCCGCGACCGTGGGGCAGGGGCCGCCCATGCGCCCGGGGCTGGCACCTGCCGGATGCTCAGGGGCAGGGCGAGCCCATATTGCTCCACGGATGCACATAAATGGCCCGGTGGGCGTGATGGGGCCCGCGGGCGCTGCGTTGGGGACCACTGAAGTAATCCATCTCGTCACTCATTCCCAGCTTCTGACGAATAGAGGCTGTGAACACCATTCCTACCCACTCTGGCTAATACCACTGCTGGACTGATCCTTCATGAACATATCTAGTTCTTTTTTGATATTATTGGCCATTTAAAGTATTGCATAGAGAACTGGATGGCTGCAGAAGTGTGGGGAAGGGCAAGTGAAGACGAGACCTTGGGAAAAGGAACATATGGGCTTCAGGTGTGAACCGAGCACTTGTTTGCTTTCAAGCCCAAGGATTCAGCTATCAGTCCAGGGCAGGAATAATTTCCCATTCACTCTACTACATGAATGGAGTGAAAGTTTGCACAGACATTCAGGAAGAGAACCTGTAACCTAGAATGGGAAACATCAGAAAAAGACTGTACAGACTCTGAAGAGACCCAGGAAGTGGCATTTGTTCCCCAATGTCAATTTTAATACATCAACCATCTGATACGTGGATTGTTTCAAAGTCCTTCTCCAAAAAAAGCTCTATGATGCTAAGAATCTGGCAGAGCAGATTTGTCATACACAATACTTTTAAACAAGGACTTTATTGCAAATGTAGGACCTTATTACCATTATGGAATTCATGATGCCTTTGGGATAATTTCAGTGGATCCTGGGGTCACAGCTGCACAAATAAGAAATTCATGCTGTATCTGTGTAACGTGTCTAAGTGATGGAATGGGGTAGCAAGGTTCCAGAGGCAATCTTCAATTAGAAAAGGACTTTCAAATTCCTTCCACTTATATCCCAAAGTGGTTATCTCGGGAGGCAACAAACTGGGCCTGAAATAAGCACATTTCACTTTATTATTGGACGAGACACAAATTCTCAGCACTGTAAACCAGAATGCACCAACACACGGAGCACAAACTCAAGAGAAAAGGTCTGTCAAAACATACACCTTTAGAGAAGGTTAGAGAAAATTAAAACAAATCAAGTAATTTTTGCTCCTGAAAATATTTGTAACATAAGGTATTCAAACGAAGGCTACTTTTCCCCAATGTGGTTTCAAAGTGCAATCTTCTAAAATCAAAATTTAAAAAATTATTGTGAAGTAGAACATTTCAATTTTACCTGTATTTGCTTCTAGAAAACTAAATAATGTATAAGCCAACTAGGAAAACATCATTTATTTTCATATAGGTTTTGAGGTGAATTCAAACCTATGTTTTCTATATTGCTAATGGTCTTCCTTAGGTTTTCATTCATGGATGTAAGTCATTACTACACTTATGAAAGTATAGCTCTTTCTATGACAAAGATTACTTTATAATTTTTAAGTTACTGCATGTAGAAACAACAAGATTGAAACCAAAGGAGCTTTTGTTATCTTTGAAAGAAAAAATAATCTCTGCTCTACGCAAAAGACATAACATTTTAATTTTAAATGTTACTTGTGTGTTCAAAATTGTTTTACTAAATTTGTAAGATGCTTTTTGACACAAATTGTTAATATCAGCATTTATTTTGTAATAAACTGAGACTCTCTCAAAAGGGTCATTTTTACAATAACCATTATATAACTATCTTTTCAAAATCACAATTAAGCTTATAAAACTACAATTTCGTGGAACAGCAAAAAAGATTAGATTGCCAGATTCTAATCTTAGATTCATACCATGCATTACTGAACATTTCAAAATTCATAACTGGGCTTCTCAAGACACACAGCAATACTGTCTGTACACACCTCTCATCTCACAGTGTAGATTAACATGTAAAACTACTTGAAATTATTCACTTAGAAGATTCCACAAAAATTAAAAGTGTTGAAGTGATATATATTAAATACTATATCCATAAGTATTCTAGATACACTTGAAATCTTGAATTTAAAAATAAAAATATTTTTCTATAACATGAAAAATCTAAGCATCCCATACCAGGCTTTGGATAAGGAGGAAACTCCCCCTTAAAGTATTCTCTTTCCAAAACATGAACAAAAAGAACTCCAGCAGAAGGGTATACATTCCGATCAGAGTGCACCTTAGAGAGAATCGTGTATACTGAAAAGCAGAAGGAAAGATAAGAGACAGAAAAGCAAAAAGTGAGACATGCTCTAGACAATACAGCATGCATTACCATGGAAATTTTCATTTCTAGGAAGGGAAAGCAACAAGCATTAGATACCTGTTAATAAGTTTTTTTATAAGTTTTGTAGGTTTAAGTACATAATGCAAAACAAATCCTCTCGACTATTATGTATCATCCAAGTTTTGTCCAAGATTCCAGTAAACAAAAATAGACAGTTTTTAATATTGCAAATGCTAAGCAGGAACTTACTTTTATAATAATAATAGATAATGAAAAAGCCAATGAGTATTTTTGGAAACATATTTATTTGTGATATTCCATATATCAATAAAAACACATACAAATGTATAATATAATGTCTGCTATATTTTTAACAACAAAAATAAGGAAACAGAAGGGATGAAGTAGCATATGCTGGCTTAATATCTTGTTTTAAAACAATTAAATATGAATATTTAGCCAAATACAGTACATGTTTGTGAAGGCTGTTTGTATGCAAGCAAGAACTTCATTATTATACCTTATTGTAATTTTTTCTTGTTCATTGTTATTCTGTATTTGTACACTACCAATAGCCTCAGAATATAGGTAATATTCTTCATGCAAGGCTCCCATGGACATATATGGTAGTTCTGTGCACAAATTGTGGATAGAATTAATTATATTAACCACACCATGCACCAAAGGTAAAATAAAAATTTCATAACTTCTCAGTGGCATTTTTTAAAATATTAAGTATTTACTAATATAATTGTGGTTTTGTCCTCTGACTGCATCTCATGTCCTAATTAAGACATAGTATCAAAAGTGTATATAAACTATGTATATAAAGTTATCTTAAATTACATATCAGACATAATGTAAATTTTAATTTCTTTCTATTGTTCAAGGGAAAATTCAGAAGCTAAATTTTTAATGAGTCTTCTTCTAGCCTCCCATTTTACACCCACAGAATACCAGGTATTCAAGTAAAAATAGACATATTATAATTTTAATTTGCAGTTATTAGAAGGTTCAAAATGGAAGGCCAATTTTAAAATCGGTCCCTATACATGTGATATTAAGTTGCTTAATTTTATATATGGCACTAATCTACACAATAACATAACACTTAGTTGTGACATCTTATCTTCCCATACGTGAAAAAAATCACATTCTGTCAAATTAAAATTTTACAAGTTTTATACATACTAGGTGCATTCACAATAACCATAAAAATGGACAATTCCAATCTATTTTCTTTCCTCATTTAAATTATAAATGTGAACTCTTTTAGAACAACTGATTTTAATGTGTGAAACCCCAATGAAATTTTCACAAACACTGGAAAAATCAGATTGCACACAATTCACACAAATTCACATTGTGCACACCTGGCTCTAGGTTTGTTCAGCTGTAGAATTA